CATACCAATTATTTTGTTTTAAAAATCCTTTGCAAAACCGTCAAATATGAAAAATAAAATGACATCAAACCGAATGAATATGTCAAACTGAGCTGAAATTTTACTTTTTCCTGTTTTAATTTCATAAGATCTAAATAAAATTGCATGACATTTAACTTTTTTTTCTAATCAAACAAAATGTTGAGCATTACTAAGCAATCTTTATACATCAAACTTGTGTGAATCTATTACCATATCATACAAAATCTCTATTTAGAATGTTTGGTATGTAGATGTTGCTTTAGAATGAATATTAAAAATAAAATGTTACTCAGCATTGTTTTCCATTCAAACTTGTATGTAACTCTTTTCAAATCAAATTTAATTCACAATTAAAGGCCCGCAAAATTCAAAATGCATATACACACCTGATTTAAACCATATTAAATTTTATGTATTAAATATGATTGAATAACTCAAAGAGAAAGTTAAAAAAAAAAAAAAACCAGTTCTATAACAGTGAATTTTTTTTGTGAAGGATTGTACCATAAAATAAACATAAAAAAAACACGAAATGAGAAAAAAAATCAAAGGATTCTGTTTTAATTTCAGAATAAATTTATCGTTTACATGTACATAAGTTAGAAACTGGTTAAATGAAGATGACAAAAAATATCTTTTTTAATAAACCCCAATTCTTATATCTCAAAATTCTGTCTGCCACCCTATCAATAAATTTCTGTCATCAAAAATATTCAAACACAAGTTTGTATAGTCATTTTTTGAATTCTATATTTTTGTATATTCATGTACATATAGACCTAGATATCATCAAAATATGATACTTTTAGAAAATATTTTTGATGCAGGTTGTAATGTGGAGGTTTTTAGGATATTTTTATTGAATTTGAATTTCTGTTCTTTTTTCCTCTTTGTTATTTTCTGTCAAATTTTTCTTTGAAAAAAAAAACAACTACCTACACACCACGTATATCATATTTCAGTCGGTATTTTATGACATTATGTGTACATCAAGTAAAATGTCAAAATGTGTATAAGCATATGATATGTCTGTATGAAAGCATATAAGACTTGTGAATATTAAATGTCATGTTCTTGTAGCCCAGCTAATGTTAAAGTTTGTAAAATATGTTTTATTACAAAACACGATTTATGTTTGTGTGTGAATATAGAAGTTACCTCCAAAATGTGTACATAAAAAATATAATGTAGGTATATGTATGCGGTTATTGGTTGTGTTACTTTTAGAATATAAAACATAATTTTTCTATAAGTCCTTCCAATATATCATGACGTTATGTATGTACACTCTTTTAAGAATATTTAAGGGCAAAAAACACATATAAATTTTTCCGGGTTTTCCTCATTTTTTTTGCTTTTTTCTTTTTAAATTGAAAAATAAATTTTTGGTTTTGTAGATGAAAAGGATAAATCAATTATATAATTTATTGTGATCATGAAGAAATTGAAAAGTTTGGACAAATATTTTAGATTTAGATTTAGATTAAAATATGCAAAAAAAAAAAAAAAACAAATAAGAAATGAAAGAAAATACAAAATCTGCTTAGGTAATAAAAAAAAAAAGTAGAGCTCAATAGTTACCAATATGAAAAAAATATTGAAGGATAATGAAAAATTGTAATTTCTTGTAGCATTTGGACAATAAATTGGATTCAATTAGAATTTTTCAGATTGCATAAAATTATTTATAAAAATGAAAACTTTTATAAAAAAAAATTTTTAATATAATTTTATTTTTATTTTATTTTTTTTTTCAGATTTTCCAGATATGGATAGTCAATAAAATATTTTCTCTCTTATTGGATTTAGATGCAATAATAAAATAATAGATAGTCAGTTGGAACTTATTATTAATATTGTAATATGATAAAGTTTATTTTAAGATATAAAGAAATATCTGCAATCTATGTGTACCATATTGAAATTTAATTAAGTTCTGTGTATAAAGCAATAAAATGTTATTGTATAAAAAACACAGGTCTTTCAATTATTATTTTTCATTTAAAAATTTAATTATAAAATTCGTAGGTATTGCGAAATCAAGATAATATTGGAATCATTATTTTTGCTATAAATTTAATTTTAAAAAAAATGTCCAGTCAATGCAACAGGATTTAATTATCAAGGATTCATTTAATATTGTAAAACATGTAGATGAAAATATTTATAACATAAAAAAACTACATAAAAGTAAAAGTAAAAAAAAACACATAACTGGCCAATTTTTGTAAATAAATTTCCAAGGATAAGGCCTGCAAAATTGTTATATGTCACTTTGCGGAAGAATTCTTGCTTCCTATCAAAGAATTCCGAAGTTCCTTCTGAATGAAATAATTAGTTCTGTTTTCCACACACGAAAAGAATACTATAAAAATGAGATGTTAGGATGTTTCTAAAAACGTAAAAGTTCTGAACCCCGTAATTTTCCAAAATTAAACAGATCATTATCAGAACAGATCATGATAAGAGGAGAGTTAGAAGAGGACTCTTAAGTTAGAAAAGGAGATTTTTACCCATTTAAGCGCAAATAACCACCGATTGGATGTAAAAGTTAAAACAAAAAAAAATTATTTTTTCACTCAAATTTTATAATAAATTTTCAAATTATGACTCTTAAATATGTTGGCCAAAACTTAATAAAAAATACGATTTTATTAAGAGAGAAATAAATACGATTTTAACCTTCCTTGCGTTTCTAAAAATAATAAGAATAAGAACTTTCAATTGGTCATAAGTATACGCTCAATGTGGTTAAATGCAAAAGATGTATTGCCAAATTTTTGTAAAAGTTCTTATTTTATTCTAGCAGATTGCTTTCTTTTTTTAATATAAACTTATAGTATACAGGCCTTAAATTATGTAAACAGCATTTAGGTACATAATAACGATTATAAGAATGATAATGTAAACATTACCAGAATCTGTATTTAGTCCAAATACAAATTTTACTGATTTCTTTAAATTAAATAATTTTTATTTTCTTGTTATATTCGAGTATTTTTAAATATAATTGTTATTTGATAATTAAAATAATATAATAGGAGCATATCTAGCTAAAAGCGATGGTAGATTCGATGAGAGTTAGTTGTCTTTTGTTTAATCTCTGCACAATATATTCTAGATTCTAGAAGAAAAAGGTGGTGTAACAAGTGAATCGGAACGCTATAATATTGAATTCGTATTCGATACGCTATCTCTGGCTATTCTTAAAAATTGCATATAATTTCAAAGTCTGTCAGAAAATTTTCACAGTTTATACAGAAATATGAAATTTTAATTAAAACAGAAGTAAAGGTACAATTTTTTTTCTGTTGATTGACTTTCTATATTGTGAAAATAAAATGCCAAAGACTATTGGAATAAAAATTTGGTAAATGTGTAACAAAATTTTTTCTTAAGAACGATAATCACTTTATACTTAATTATAATTTGATTAGTATAATTGTTCTAAAAACGAATTATTTGACCTTATTCTAAATTATCATCGATAAATATAAAATAAATGTTGAATTATCATATAAAACTAAATTGCATTATTTAATATAAATTTGACATGAAAACCTATACATTCTCTAATAATTTTCCTAAATTCAATATAATATTAAGCATTAACATTTCTTTTGATAATCTAATTGTTAGATATTAAACAGAAAAACAAAACAATAACATTTATTATTATTTTTTTTGCAAATTCAATAAAAACTGAATTAATTATAATTAATCGTTAATAATAGTTAATAAATTTCATTTGGTTATTCAAGTAAGTTTAACAACATTTTATAGTTAGGTATGTGTATACGTACGTTATATATAGAGTTTACTGACCAATGATTCCAAAATGTTAAAATAAACGCACAAAGAAAATGAAACATAAAAAGAGAGAAAAAAACCCCATCGGGAGTATCAAGCAAAAAATGAGAGAGAACAAAAAAAAAGGTTAAGCGAGAAACATTAATAAATGAACTGTCATTTGATAAAATAAATACTAAATACTGTCATAAATTACAACATTTATTTGAGTCATCTTAGTACATTAACTTCATAAATAATGATAAATTTATTACATACTTTCATTTTATTCAAACATACACACAATCATGTACATTTTATTATAAATATATTTTGATATCGTATGTCCCTCTCCCTATTATCCATATAACACATTCATTATTGTTTTTATTTCATCTGTTCTTCTCTCTTTATGCCTCTTTCTCATTAAATTTATTCTTCATTCCTATATTATATTCTTTGAAACATCTAACTGTACATTTCTTTAATATAATATGTTCATACACATTGTTATGTACATAGCTATGTATTTAATGTACAATATAATATCCTAAGATCCTTTAATAGAAATTTTCAAAGGTCTCCTAAATGTCGTTGTTTTATTTATTTTATCACAATTCAGAGATCTTAATAAAATCCAAAATGCAGGAACGCAAAAAAAAAAAGAAACTAACAAATACCATGAAAAAAAAAAACAAAAATAACCTAGGCATTCTCTTTTTTATTTTTACTTGCTTCTTCCCTTAAAATCTACATACCTACTATTTACAGTTAATGTTATTTATTTATAATAGAAAAAATGACAAAAAGAAAGAAAGAATAAAATATAAAACAATAATAAAAGTATTTATGTATGTATGTAGCAAAAAGAAATAAAACAGCAATAACAAATATTTTATTATCGTAAATTTCTTATCAAATGTGTCCAAAATAAAATATACATTTAATAAAACAAATAATATGTACACAATTACACATATACATACCACATATTATTATGTGTAAATATAGATACACAACATATTATAGGGGAGTAAGGTACATAAAAGTTAACATTTTTTATATAATAATAATAATGTTATGTATTTATACATATTATCATAATATATACGATATTATATTTAATGTGTAAAATATTTCAATATTATCTATATATATTTTTGTATTTATATAAAAAAAATTTTTGTTACCTGCATAAATCCCTCAGGACAACCAGGTAATTCACCGATTGAACTAAAACTGGAATCTATACCATCAGCATCAGGATCAACCATGCCCTCGTCAAAACGTCCAACAGTAAATCCATCGAAAATAATCTGTAATAAATAAAAAAAAATATTATGTACCTAAGCATATTATGATATATATAATGTTTTTAGTATATAAATAAATATTAATATGTACGTATACAATATAATATAAATAAGATTTTAAAGAATAAATATTAAATAAAAAGAAAAATAATCATCCGAAAACAAATTCCTTTTTTTTTTTTGGTGCATTCCGACAAATTATTTGTAAAACTTCTACATTCTTTAAGATATAGTTCTGAAGTTTTCCAAAATTTTCTTCCATATCATGAATTCCACTCGTAGAATTTTACGAGTTATGATCTTAGCTACGATGTAGCACAAATTTCTTTATTAGAGATTATGTATAAGCAATGCAGTACCATTTCTTGGAATATTGAACGTAATTTATAATTACTCTATTACATATATTCGGAACAGAATTTTAGTAATTCAGAACTGACAATATGATATTCGTAACATTTCAAATTTCAGGGCTATGAACAAAATCCTTTATAAGGCTGATTGTCCAAGTCAAAATATTTTTTCAGTAGAACAAAATTTCTATTTCCTCAGGTGCGTTATTGCTCTCGAAAATTTGTAATATTCTACCTTTCGACACTACAAGTTCTATTGAAGTTCTATGAAATCATAAATTGTACTTTAATTAATTTTTTATCCAAGCATAAATTATTTATAAAGCATAAGTTTTTTTGAAAAATATTTATATATGCAGTTACATTTTATCCTAAAGATATGCAATATTTTAAGATAATAAGAAAATGGTTTCGATTTAACACAGCCTTAATGATTTTTATATTAATAAAAATCTCTATAATTAAATTTTTGAAATATGTAAATGTGCTATTTTACAAACAATGGTCATGATTAACTTTCGAAGTAAAGAACAATATATTTGTTATATAAGGTACTGAGTATTTTCGGATACAAATCGGGGCATCCATCGGAGAGACATCAAACGAGTGATAGAGGTTATAAAATATTTTGTATGATTGACGAACATTTTGTTAATAAAATCTCAGCGAAATTCATTGTGACTGACCTACTTTGCTCATATTCAGCTTTGGCAGGAGAGAGTTGAAGATTCCTTAGATCATATTTCTTTTTGCGAATTATGAACCTGACGTTATCACAATGGGATTTTGAGATAATTTTAAAGAGATATAATAATACTATGAAATAATTTGTATGTTATATAAATTCCAATTCTAAACAGAGTAGGAAAACCAAATAGCATACATTTCTGCTTTAGTACTCGAAAAGTCGGAAATCCATAGGTGAGTAGAATAAATGTTCGACGGTGAGTTACAAAATATGTACATATGTCTATATTTACCCGTTACAACTACACAAGTGAATAAAATAGTGTAAACTCAACATACTCAAATATATTTTGTATATGCCGTATAAATACTTTAGGATAAATTGTATTGGTACTTGCTAGAAAATTTTATAAAATTCATAACAAAAATTTTTTTCTAAATCGATATTTTCCAAAATTATTTACTGTGAAATTTATTTTAGAAGGTGCTTAGAAATGTGCAATAAAGGTTAGCAATAAAGGTTACAAGTTTGTTTTTATTTCTATTTTTTTTTCAACTTCTTTGGTATTTAATTTACATTTTAAATATTAAGCCATTTAGTATTGATAAATTTTTTATTATACAAGTATGTAAAATAAAATATTAATAAAAATAAAATTTTACTTCAATCCTTCTTCTATATATACGGTTTCCTGTATTTTACAAAATTGTAAAATATTAATACATTTATAATGGTTCATTCCATAATTCTTCCTGACTAAAGAAGATCCCCATTCTAGTATTTATAAAATGAATAATACTCATATACCCCATATGTAATATTCGTTTCGTTTTTATTGATCAAATACTAACAGTCATATGTACACATACACACATGTACGTATGTACTACATAATGTAAGGATAATATAAAATTTTCTGCTTCATCAATATTTCAAATAACATAGATGTGTCCTATTCCCCGGCTAAAATAATATTTTAAAAAGAAATGAAAAAAAAAAAAAGAAAAGTTCAAAGGATACATTAAAATTATTAAATTTTGTAACATTTTATTTAAAAGGACTAGGATAATTTTTTTATTAATGTATATTTACAAAAATGTTTATTAATATCTAAATAATGTACATATATTATAAGACTAGGAATATACATATAATGAATAATATGTAATAGATGTGTGTAAACATAATATGTATGTACATAATATTATGTACGTACGTTTACTAAATTTTTAAATTATGAAAAGGAGTTTATATAGCTTTTCTTCCTTTTTGCCCAAAATATACAAAAAAAAAATAAATTTTCAAATTTATAATGTATAGGTACCTATACGCTTTTTGATTTTAGTTCAATATAGATTTTGAGTGTATTATGTACATATGAATGTATACCAGTGTTTTCGTTTCCATTTTCTAAACTGCAGTAAATGGGGATCTCGAATAGCAGCAAATTTACCCAAAATGCAGTAAATATCACAATAGAACAATTTTTGCTTGAATTAAAAGTTTTCCTCATTTTAATTAATTAACGTTTTTGCTAACATTTACATAAAATTTGTTTATAAATTTGCTATAACATTTTACTAATTTGATTCTGTCTACTGTAATATGTATTACATGTAAGATAATGTAAAATTAAGATTATTTTTTGTAAGAGTGAAATTGAGTTTTCGGTGGCTTCCATTTATTAGCCGAATCACAAAGTTCCATAATTGTATTCAGTGTATGCAAACAATTGTTTTTTTTTTCAGATAATTTATTTGATTTGAAAAAAAAAGGTCGTCCAACTGTTGCACTATCAGGAAATAAACTTGATAAGCTTGATAAACTTGATAAGACGAAAGCATTAAATACCGGGAAAATTTTCTCATGTAGCTCGGTTAGTTCAGGAATTTTTTTCAACGAATGTTCCTTGTGAAGTTTTTCAAGATTTGATGATAACACTTTTGAATCTACTGAAGCGGATAAATGAATTGAATGGGATGTACAGCCTATTAAGAGTTTACACAGATAACGCAACAAAATAATGAAATTCATTATCCAATACAATTTGTTGAAATTACAGCAAATCTACGAGAGCTGCAGTTGTGCAATGAACGTTTTCCAAATAAAATAAATCTACAGTAATTGTCACAAAAACGACAGCACGGATTTATACACTGTTTTTATTATATTATGTAGATATTTGTTTCTATAAATATACAGTATGCATTTAGGTATACAAAAACGGTATAGGAAAAAATGAAACAATTTAAGGATATAATATTAAATTGCTACCATTTTCAGGCTTTTAGATTATGAATAATTTATAATATGACTTTTGAATCGGTGTAATCCAAAATAAAGCCTTTATAAACTTAAAGCAAAAGTTAAAAATGGGGGTTTCAGAGAGTTTTTATTAAATTTTTTTATTGTTTTCTTTTTATTTATCTATTTACTAAAGAACATCAAAATAGCTTACGTCAATTTTATGGATAAAAATTTTTAAGCTAAAAGAACCTTCTTATATGACAAGACTCGCAAAATCATATACATTTTATATATACTATATTATATATAAAGTAGCAAATTAAAAAAAAAAATGGAAAGACAATTTAAAATAACCAATTGATTGTGTAAAGCTTTAAGTTTTCTTCCACATTTTATAAATTTTGTTTTAATATTCTAATGTGCTATGCGAATTCCATGCAAATTACCTCTCACCCCTTGTGTTAAATCTCACAAATATAAGGAATATTATTGTTTTTCCCAAAATTAAGAGACGTATCAATTGTTTATAATAACTGTGTTAATGCATTAATCTAAATATCGAAATTATTAAATTTTTATGGCAATAAGCACAAATGATCTAAGTCTGTTTTGGGTATGTTTTGATGAATGCATTTGAAACGCGATATGAAGAATTATTGGTACGATGACAAACATGTTTTTGTCTCATCTCAAATTACGCGATTTGCGTTCGTATAAGAAAATACTAAAATAATTAAAACTAGGCACTGTAAGAATAAAATCAAGCATATTATTTAATCAGTTTAGAAACGGTTTAAAAATAAATTCGAAACAATATCGGGAAATATCGAGTTTTTTGTTTAGCTAAGGTTTGACTCAAGAGCGAAGAAGTTTAATAAAAAGTTATTAGTATTCTTATATAGGAAGAGTATATTATATTTAATTTTAAAAAAATAATGATTATGAGATACTATTTTCTTTTGGCGATTTGTACTTGTGTGGAACAAAGCGACATAGAAAGGAAACCGTCAATAATTTCCTCATGCTGTCATAATTCGGTAATTGATAGACTGTTCCTTCAGAAAATCGGACATCATTGGTTTGTGTCTATTTTAGGTAGAGCATTTTTGCAATATTTCCGTCTTCAACCTCATTCATTTGTCTAGATCGCCTATCTCTATTGTAAATTAATAAAGCTATTGAATTTTAAGTATGATAAGAAAATTATCGCTACGACCACGATGGTTGTAACCTGCGATGATCAGAGGAATCCTTAGTACTGCATTAAATCCTAAGTTCTCTATTGAATAGTGATTCAAATTCTGTAAATATTGTAATGTTAAAGAATTGCTCCCCTTATACTATGCCAATTCGTTAAATACATCTCTTAAATAAATAAATTTCTATATAAGAATTCGGAATTTTAAAAATCGATATTTGAAACACAACTTAAAAATGAATTGCAATAAATTATTTTTATTTGTTTTCATTCAATTATACAAGTAAAATTGCTATAAATTTTTATTAAAATCACTTAACGCGTTAAAGCGTTGAAATATAATAAATTTTTCAAATCAATTTTAAATTTCCCGTTGAAAAAATAAAATATAAAAATATTGTGCTCTTATTGTTTGTTTTTATTTTTGTTGCTTGTCGCTTATTAGCTCATTATATAACGTTATAATAAAAATATGGTACTCAAATATTTTCTGATCGTATTCATTTTTATTTCCATA